GCTGCTACACAGACTCACAAAGACTCTAACGGGTAGACCGGCAGGCAGGCAGGCAGACAGACAGACAGACAGACAATGAAAAGGTGGAGTTGCAACACAGACGGACAAACTGACAGATGGACAGACAGACAGACTGTGAACTGGCAGACTGACCAACGAACTAACCGACAGATTGAAATTTGAAACAAAAAAAAGAAAGACCGACAGATGACACCATCTGTCTCGGCGCAGTTGGTACAGTGGTACACCCATGAATTGTTGAAATACAAGATCTGGGTTGAGCTGCACTCTAATTAAAATTATTAAATCTTTGAACTACCCGGCGCCGGGCAGTTCCACAATAACATCGCAAGGTCGTCGCCCTTTGAGGGGCAAAAGAAAAGAAGAGGGAAAAAAAAAAAAAAAAAAAGGACTGACAGATGATAGAGAGACTGACGGACTGATAAACAGGCTGACAAGCAGACCGCCACAGACAGGTTCGGACAAAGAAGACGGACAGATTGAAACTAAAAACTGACAGACAGACTGGTAAGCAGACTGTCAGACAGACAGAGAGAGTGTCATACAGACAGGTAAACAGACTGTCAGACAGACTGAAAGGTGGTCAGACAGGGCCCAACTTAAAGACTGCCACGCCACCCATATGACCACAGGGAAGAGTGTGCAATGCAACCACCAAAAGAGTACGTCCTCCTCCTCTCTCCAACACACACGCGACAGCTCAGCCCCATTTCTGACATGCATCTCCTCATGGTTCACACATGGAAAGGAGGAGAACGTACTCGATTCGTTTGTTTCTCCCCGAGGAAAGTATGTACTCGATTCCTTTGTTTTCTCCCCGAGGAAAGTACGCACTCGATTCCTTTGTTTTCTCCCCGAGGAAAGCACGCACTCGATTCCTCTGTTTCTCCCCGAGGAAAGTTGCACGGAAAAAAAAAAAAAAAAAAAAAAAAAAGAAGAAGAAAAAAAGGGAAAGTTACACAGCACTGATCACAGCTGTGATTTCGAAGATCATGAAAAACGATTGTCCAGAAAAACCGATCATCCAACTTGAAGGCCGCATGTCTAAACAAAGGCATTTCAACATTGATATGCTTTGCAGACCTCACTTGTTAACATTGCTATGCTTGTGATGGGCGTGTACTCACTATTGGAGTGGGTGGAGTGCATGGTTCACACGTGGAAAGAATTGGGGTGTTTTGAGACGGCTGCTTGCCTTCCCCATCTCTGAGCGAGCTGTTGCTGTTGCGGTTGGGCCTGCGTGCCTTCCCAGTCTGTGATTGTTTGCGTGATTCTTTTGTACATGATTGATTACCTTACCATGATTGTGGGTGGGGTTCCTTGCTGCACGCCCCCCCCCCCCAGCTACCTATAATTGAGACTCGTGATTCTTTCTGGATGAATGATTCCCGTGCTTCTTTTTTGAAGCCTGGCTGCTGCGTCGTCCTGAAGCGCATCGCAGGGTTCCCTTTTGCCTTAATGTGATTGCTATTCTGGTCTTCTTGCCCTGATTCAATTTCATATGTTTTGTTTGGGATGACTCGTGCTTTCGGGGTGAAGGCACGCAGTACGTTGGTGGGATGGGTGCTCGTGATGGGTGCTATTGAGGGTTCATACGATCTGGACACGACATACGATGGCCAATTATTCTCTCCTCCCATGAGAGCGAGCAATACTGCTTATCACCTCCACTGCTGCTTCGATTACATCTGTCTGCACTGTGTGATGTCTTCGGTGGGGAAACCGATGTTAGTCTTTTCTTTTTTTCTTTTTTTTTTTTCCCAGCTACGATTTTAAACCACCAGTACCTCGTCCAGCCAAAAATTCCCGACGCGGCTGTTAATGTGCCGCGACTTCCGGGCTTCGGCAAAGGCTTGGCAGGGCAATGGGGGAGGGAGCT